GAGTTCATGATGAAAAGTATCTTTTTCCATAGTGTGCTCCCAATATATCCAGCTCCCGTATTTTAAACATACAGAGAAAACTGATACAATAGATCAGTGATCAGGCTAAATTGTCTTTAATGGTACTGCCTTATGTCTGAAGAGTTCCTGGGTTATAGTAAGACATTTCTCTCTTAAGTTTAACATATTGGCAGAGTCATTCTTTCACTTCTTATACAAATGTAAACTTAGAAAACAGTTTATTTCATCCAAATGTGCAATCTGAAATCAAAAACTGAATGTAAACTTCAGAATATCAAAATTACAAGAGCACACTTTTCACAAGAAAAATCAGAGTAAATGACACAAAAACATCTGGAATTAAAAAAACCCAACAAAACAGCCTGTTCAAATCCACAGTGTTAGTGTCTGTATTTAACAAAAAGTGCTGGGGGCTCAATGCTCTGCTTCCGCAGACTGTTGTCACCCACGTGACCTCAGTGGAATACAACAGTCTGGAGCAGCAGAGGAGGTGGTCCCATGACTAACCAAAAAAGGACCTAAGTACTGATCCGATTTTTAAAGTTTTCCTTCATTATTTTACTGATCCTACACTTATGTATTCATAGCGGAAAATAACCTCAAGAGCTGCAAAATGGCAGACATTTAATTAGCTCTAAGTGCCTTGATGAACAACAAACTGACTGAGCCAAAGCAATCCCTGGTACCACCTTGCACACAACTGGCTTCCAAAGTACACCAGAAAAGAACACAGTTCATCTGCTTTTACAGTGCATGCTACCTATTTTCAAGAAGCTATGATTTTTCAATGCCAGCACAGACCAACAAAGTCAAGGAGCACTTTTTTATCTATGAAAAAACAAGAGATGGATATTCATAGATAAAATATTCCACTTTAATAAAGGGAAGGTTCTAGCAGGCTGTCTTCATTTAATCAAAATACAAAGGGAAGAAACGTGGGGTTTTAAATTGTCTATACTTCATTTTCTTTTGTATTAACTGACAGCTGCACTAATTAAAAAAGCCCAGTGATAGAAAACAGATCAACTATGTCCATGGCCAAGAAACTATGTACTTATGTGCAATGCAGATATATTTTTGCTACATCTTTATAAAACTATTATGAAAAAAATGTACTAATGAAATCGGTAATTTGCAAAATACGTTTCATATAATCATTGCGGTTGGAAGGGACCTCTGGAAGTCATCTAGCCCAACCCCCTATGCTCCAAGCAGGGTCAACTAGCACCAACGAGTTGACTCACTGCAAAAAGAAGAGCACATCATACACCTGCTAACTTGTTCAAAGAGTATCTTTTTTCAGTTTTCTCCTTTTCTTTTCCATAGTTTACTTTAGCCTTTTTTTTTAACTTCAAGTAAGAGAGAGAACAATTTTCCCACAATCATTCTACTCAAAGAGCGAAAATGAGTGGGATTTTTTTCAGTTTGCTTAATATCAGACATGATTCTGTTCTGACTTCTGCTTTTGCAGTAATTTACCTACTAGTTTCATGTTAGGTGTGTGTATGAGATCTTTCAGGATTGTGGCTTGAACAGCCATATGACCAGGCTAAATCAAAGTATCATTTGCTACCAGTTCCCTCTTTGGAATTAATTGATGTGAAAGAGTAAACGACTTGGAAATTAGCAGATTATTTTTGCGAACAGACTCTGTTCTGCAAGTTAGTTGGTGTTTATACATATTTCCTAGAACTATGGAAGTCTGCATAGTTATGCTTTACTCATAGCGTGTTGAATTCAGTGATCGTTCATCTGTAAAGATTAAAGTACTCAAAATTAGCCACACCAATAAGACTTTTTTTTCAACAAATCTGATTCCAGACGTGATGTGGCAACTAAAAGTAGTTGTAAGCACTAAGGGGGACTTCTGCCAAAACAGTTACCCGGGCTTAAATGAAGAAACAATTACTGGACTCCAGATGAAACCACAGGTAACCAAGAAGCTTGATGCTGTATAGTTACATGATGGATCTTAAACCGATCTTGAAAGCACAACCTGTGAGTTGTAACTTGGCTTTCTCAGACCAGTACTGCTTGCACATGGAGGCTGCTCTGTCAGATTTCTCTTAGGGGCTGCAAGAGAGTTACATTTCTTGCCCTGCGAGCTTCACCTAACAGGAAAAATGATCTTTTACAGCTTTCCAGTAGTTAGTCTGCCTGAAAATACCATCTATTCCACAAAAGCACCTGAACTTTCTGCAGGTCTAACCACACACATTAACTTGAAAAGGGCAGACTAGGTATCAGTTGATCCAAAGTTAAATCTATCTCTGTTACTATTTTTTATATAAATTATGGATGCAGTCTTGCAGGACACACTCTATGAGGGTTGTACTAAAGTAAGGACTGCAAGATTCAAAGCTCCATCAAACAAGAAGTCAGTTTTGCTCTCAGGCGTTGATATAAAAAAGCACATATTCCAGGTGGTCCGGTTTAAGTAAACACACTCCAGAAAGACTTTGACTTCATTCTTCAGAAGCATAAAAGAAAGGAAAATATAGCCCATGAATTTTGATGTACTAAAATACAAAGATGCATATTGCGTTATTTCAGCAATATAATTACTTGGCATTTAGCAAAACTTACAAAAGTGCTACTATAGATGCTATTAAATCTAAAACTTTTGAGTGTTAAACTCTGCCTTTGTTTACATCTAGGCAACTTTATCAACTTTAGTCTAAGTTCAGCATAGTTGCATGGATACAACTGAAAGCCGAATTTAGCTTTTAGCTTTCTTGCAGAAAGGGGTTTTACGGCTTATACCACAGAAAATTCACGAGAGCATGCCTGAAGCTGAACACCTAATAGTAAGTATTGTACTACTGTACACTGACTTTTAATGCAGCGTCTGCCCCCAAGATCAGTGGCCTCAAGAAAGACTTGTCCTCACCTGGTTCACCACAAGCAGGTCAAGGAAGTCACGAGACAACATGCCCAAAGGTTGCAGAACAGTGCTTCTGATCATGAGAAACTCTTTGTGTCTACTCAGAAAGCAGTAAAAATAAATGCTTCGTCTTGAGTGGTGGGAATATATTTTAACTGTTGAATAAAATAAACACATTCAGGAAAACATTTAAGGCAGAGATAACCAGCAATTGTAACTATTTGCTACAGGGTGACTCTGCTTTGCCTGAGTAAAGACTGCACTGCCAGGCCAAATACTTTGAAGATCCGAAGGGTTATCCCAGTGTGTTTGACTGCTCTTCTCCAATTACAGTACTTTTGGATTATAGCAGCAATAGGACTGATTCTGAGCTTAGTTCTTTTGGCTTTGCTTAGAACAAAAGTTGGGCCTAATCCTGCATTGCTTTTGTACCCAAACTCTCCCGAGCCTTATAAGGCATTCAGAATTCTGACTAATGTCTGTGAGAGTACTTGTTACAAAGGAATAAAGGACAGAGCCAGCTGTAAGGAAAGCTGCACCTTAGAAAAAAATACCCAGTAGTTTCCTCCACTCATTTTTAAGGGAAACACAGTTTTCAAAAGCAGGATTTTAACGTCTTTATCTAAGGCCCCAAATCTACATTCCTTCTGGCTCCCAAACCTCCATGTGAATGTTAGTTTTGCTTGAATAAGGCCTGCAAGATCCATCCCCAAATCTTACTCCTTGTTAAACTGAACAGAAATTTTGCAAGTGACTTCAGTGGGATCAGAATAGACCCTCCACCACTAGCATGTTGCCCAGATGTTTTAGCCACCTTTTCTGCAATATAATATTGTCTAGATTGTTTTCACTGACCTGTAAGACACTACAGATTGTTGTTAAAGCAAAGGGTAGAACACAACAGTAAATAATGTTGCTTTGGGAATTTTACCATTAACAAGTTTCTTTCCCCTTACATTTTCTTGCAAGATCAAACTAAAATGATTAAGTACACAGTCAAGTAACTTTAAACCTACAGATCAAAATTATTCTCAAAATGCTCAAATACTTAAAAATATGCACTCAAGTTTACTTCTAAAAAGCATTTTTCCAACAAACTTAAGCTGATATCTAATAGTCTAAAATGCAGAGCTGTACTTTATCCTATTGTTTGTCCACAGGCAACGTATGGGGCCACAATGTATTGAAATCATAATCCTTGCTTTCTGAAGAGAAATTGTTCTGTGTAATAATTTCTGAGGTGTGGTTTAAATTCCTGTCCTCCTCTAAGCAATTTCAGAAGTCATCTAAAATTATAATCAAACATGCTCAAACATATTTGTGGGCTTAAAAACATGGTGTGATCATGGTCAGCAAACACTGGATAGAAGGTCAAACTGAACACTTCCTAACAGGTCAAGAGTAAAAAAAAAAAATTATAGAAAGATGAACCTCAAAAATCTATTACAGGGGTTACCTAAACTTTGCCCGGCCGAGGACCACATTGGTGATTTGCCATGAGCAAAAAGGCTTCATTAAGCCATGTTACATGGAAGAGACTGAGTCACCTTTAATATGGCAAGTTGGCCCGTAGAGATGACAGGTGCCAACAGGCACTATGCCACCTTGATGTTTGCCATAGGGCTGTGTAAGATTTAAGAGGAAGAAAATAAGTCATCACATCTGCTCATGCAGAGCTTTTGTGAAAAAGAGTGGAAGTGAAGGCAAGGGCAAGAGGGAGACAACAGCCAGGCACATGGGCACTAGGGATATGAACATTTTTTCTCAGATGAAAGTCAGCCTCAGGGCACACGACCCGCTACCATCACCACCTGTTGTCTGTGCAGGCCTCCTCTATGGCTGCGCTTGGGAGATCTGCCATGGGCACGAAGGAATGCAGGACTGGTCCCCTGGCCCATGGGCTGCGCTTTGGCCACCCCTGACCTATTAGAAAATGTTGATATTTTTCCCCACTACAAGTCACAGAGTGCAAAAACAGCAAGCGTCAAAGTTTGAAGCCCAGGCCTTCCCACCCACACCAGGCCTGGCCTCCCCGGGCAGCTCCCCTGCCCACTCTGCCTTCCATCACCCGCTCCTCTGAGCAGAGGCAACCACACTACACAGCCAGGTCGTCTGACCTGGCTCTGCAGCTGCTCGACTTACTGGCCCTGCTCAAGCGCCGTGTGTCTATGAGCAGCGGTGGCTCATGCATCTCCACGGTGGTGCAAGCAGTTGAGACAGGCCGTTCCTCTGACAGCTCCTCCTCACCCTCCACATCCCACTTGCTCCCACTTGCCCCGCTCAGGCTGGTGCTGCTGCCCCTGTTGGCTGTGGGCAAAGCGGGCTGTGGCAACAGGCGGCCCAGCGGGGGGTGGGAGCAGTTGCTCCAGTGGCTCTTCCTGCTCGGGAAGGGGACGTCGGACACTGCTGGGGGTAGAGGAGCCTGCTGAGCTGGAGGGCACCTTCCTCTGCTGCTCAGCTGCCATGTTGACCCAGTTCTGCTCGGCCGCCAGGGTGTGGCTGTTGTTGTTGAAGTAGTTGATGACAGCTGGCGTGGGTGTGGGGATGGGGGTCGGGATGGTGACGGGAGTGGAGATGGGTGTAGGAGTCACAGCACGGCGCCTCTCCTCGGGAACTGCTGGAGCAACAGGGTAGCTGGCCATGGCGGCTGTGTTGGAGGGGGGCCGTGGTCTTGGAGCAGCTGCAGCATAGTATGGTGACATGGTCACCGGGGCCAGCAGCGGTGTGACTGCGCGGGTGTCAGGTAGAACAGGGGGGTGCGCTGCAGTCGTTACCACCACGGGTGGTGCTGGTGGTGGCAGGGCAACAGGTTTGGGTTCCCCTGTTACCATGACTGGTGTCATTGTTGCAACAGGCATCTCAAGGCTGTACCGGCTTGTCATGCCCTGCTTAAGCTTCTTCCACCCCAAGTGATAGATCTCAAGCATGTTCAGCAGCAGGGAGACAGAGGCCACCACCAACATGAAGATGATGAAGATGGTCTTCTCAGTGGGCCTTGAGATGAAGCAGTCCACAGTGTGTGGGCAAGGTGAGCGGCTGCACTGGTAGACTGGCTTTAGCTCAAAGCCATACAGGAAGTACTGGCCCACAATGAAGCCCACCTCAAACAGTGTCTTGAAAATGATGTTGAAGACATAGGTACGGAGCAGGGCACCCCCCATACGGATTCTACCACATTCATCACGGATCGGGAGCTTCTCCTTCCCCCTTTTGCCAAGAGGATCCTTGATGTTATTGCTGCCTCCTCCACCACCACTGCCAGACACCGCTGGGTAGTTGCCATCTTTGACATTTCCCTTCTTTTTCAGCTCTTCTTTCTCTTTCCTCTTCTCCTCCATGCGTACAATGTGCAGCACATGGCCCAGGTAGATGAGAGTTGGAGTGGAGACAAAAATGATCTGCAGCACCCAGAAGCGGATGTGAGAAATGGGGAAGGCTTTGTCATAGCAAACATTTTCACAACCAGGTTGCTGAGTGTTGCATGTAAAGTCCGACTGCTCATCTCCCCAGACCTCCTCAGCAGCAGCCCCCAGCACCAGTATCCTGAAGATAAACAGTACCGTCAGCCAAACCTTGCCAATAACCGTGGAGTGCTCCTGCGCATTCTCTAACAGTCTCCCCAGAAAGCTCCAGTCACCCATTGTTTCAGATTTCTAACCTACAATAAGAACATTAGAGCAATTAGAGCAATGTTAAAAAAATCTTAGAATTACACGATGCTGGGGTAGAACAGATTGACCCTCAACAGATGACATTTCCTAAGTGCACTTCCTTTTGTAGAATATTGCACACTTATGTTAAGAACTCCATAACCCTGTCACCACACAGCCATAGGTTTTGGTGAGCACAGACGTGGGATGCTTAGTGCTTTCACCGAGCTGGTATAGGTTTAAGGGTCTATACACAACAGGCAAGAAAGATTCATAACTAGAATTTCTGCAAGATTTAAATATTTTAAAAACATGATTTCTCTGTTTCCTCCACCTGAGATGCCTCTAACTGTTCCTGCCTATTTTTAGAAAAGAACAGATGGAAATCAGTTCAATTAAACACAATATTCCTACTATTAATGTGACTTGCATCGGAGTGTGACACAAAGTTTGCCTAACTCTAAGCATTTTATTGTTATCAGGACTTATTTAGTCCAGCATTCAGGAAGGTGGTCATGTCCCAGGTCTCTGCTATTTTCATACTGTACAAGCACAGAAGAATAATTACACAAAACCTATGGAATTTACAGTTTAATTTTGGAACGTGTACATCAACCACAAGCATGTTCTCAAAGTCTAGTCATGTTTGTTTATTTCTAAAAAGAGAGAATTATTTGAATAACTTGAAATATTGGGAAAAACGAGAAATTCTGAAAGGAATAGTGGAAAGGTTTCTATGCCATTTCCCGTACTGTCCTGCCGTTGGTGTTACTGAACCACAAGTACTGCAACATTATTAAAAAAAAAAAAAAAACCACCAAAAAAGCACAACAAAACCTCAAGGGCACTTCAGCAACTGTGCACAGAGATTTTCTTGGAAAAATACAATTACATCCTATGACCTTACTTCTGGGACAAACAACTGCTGCATATTCTCAGTAGTTTCCACCAATTCACGTATGATGGGTTTCCCATGTCCAGTTCTAGGCAGTGACACAACTTCTGACTTGGAAAGGCTTAAAGTACAAGGTTTTTTTAAGATCAAATTCCTTACAAGCTGCCTTCAATTGAGAAACAAGCTATTATATGCTGGTATCACTCTTGTTATTTTCTATATTTTTTATGTCAACCTTCAACTGAAAACAAAATACAAATTTTTACCTTCAGCTAACTTCAATAACTTCAGAAATACTTATAATTCAGATATAACAATTTGCACGCAAAAAACACTATCAGAAAAGACTGATTATCCACTTGTTTAAAAATATCAGAATATTTTATAAATATAACTGAATTACACTTTACTCTTTTTATTTTTATATTTATACTTCTTGTCCAAATACCTATGTGTCTTACGATTCCCAAGAAGAAAAGGTGTTCGCCATTACAGGTAGGAATTCAACACTGAGAAAATGTACTGTTCTTGGCATTATATTTACAGTGATTTCCAACAATGTCACTGTTTTTCCAGAGGAAGCATTTCTAAAGTCTGTACTGAACTTCTTTCAGGCTTTTAGTTAAGGTAATTAAAGAAATTAAAGTTACTTAAGTTACTTTTTTTATAACTTGATTTTACTATGAGGCAATGAAATACCTGTAACTGCAGAATAGTATACTTTTACACAAGAAACAACATTAGTATTTTGTATTTCTGTAAATCCTGGAATACTAACTCACTTTTTATCCCCAGAAAGTTCATTCAACAGAAACTCCCCCTAAAAAAAAAAGATCTGTGATATTCTACAAAAACCCATTCCCTTTAATAAAACTGAATTCTTTTTCCAGCATAGCATGATAAACTACAAATGACGATATTAACAATGAAATATCAACTTTGTGTAGTAACGTCCCTGGTCCTAAAACAATTTTTGATCATTTTTTGACATATATTCAGACTTTTTTTGAAAAGTGTATTTTTCCCCCTCTTAAAACGGTAGCCGAAAACTGAGTAAATTTTGTTAGAATACTTTATTTTTATAACCCTAATCTAATATTTATATGATTTTAAAATTTAATCCTCAATCTTAATTTTATGAGGTTTACAGTATTTTGGATGGTGAAGTCATTTTAATCTTGAAAAGTATGAACTTTTCAGGGAATAATGAATTTGTTTTGTATGTTTTTTTTACTCAAAATCATTTGATGATATACTCAGTTTAGTTCCGTCTTTGGACAGAACTAAACTGTTGTTTGGTAATGTTCTCATTTTGAGTAGGAAAATGTAGGAAGAGCAAAATGAATAATGTGATATTTGATGGATTAAAGAAGTTTAGCATAACCCTAAGTTCCGTATTTAATTTCCCTGCTATCCTTTGCATTATTCTGTGCCTCTCAGTTCAGTTCTCTCTGCCCTACTCTTTGCTTTCTATCCTGATCAAGCAAAATAGGCAGCTCCGATAATAAGCAGTCAAAGTTACGGTTTGTTCTTATGTTACTAATACTAATACTGTTTATTACTCAGTAAAAGTTAGCACATTAAATCTTCTTTAATTCATTAATTATGGTCCATTTTCAGTATGACTGCCATTACCCTTGCATCCAATGGCACAGATGCCGCACACTGTTCTTTATAAAGACAGATATGACCTTCTATTGTTCCAAAAAATGAAGTCGACCTGCCCTCATGAAAAATTGTAACTCCTGCTCTGTAAGGCGAACAGAGGTAGCAATCTTTTTTTTTTTCCCCTATAGGCACGCTGTAGTGTATCTCTTTCTCAGATCAATAGGTGATGTTGACTAAAATAAAAGTAGGATTTTTCTGCTTTTCTGAAGACTACCTAGTGATCAGCAGAAGAAGAAGAATAACGATTTGTAAAAAGTAAAAGAAGGATGACAAATAATACTACCTAAATCATTCTCAGTCATTCCCCATTCACTAATACTACTGAAGATGGTTTCTTTTCTTCTTACTACATGTCAACAATGCCCAGGCTGAGATAACTCAGGACACCAAAGACGTGACACGATGCATTTCTCAAAGGATACACTTAAAAAAAGCTATTCTAATGCTTACATTAATTAAAAGATTTATTTCTGTGTATCAAATTCATCCTGTACACAAAGAAAAAGTGTTCAAGCATCTTAACTGCACAGAGGTGAAAACCTCAGTGTTCATCTTAGTATGAACTGCAGCAATCATTGTCTCCGCTGCAAATGTGTATTACCCATAGTACGTAAATATAGGAAAGACATAATTTCCAAGGGCAACACAAAAATACATATCTCCACTGGCTGGAGGGTCCCGTATCTTTCTTCAATGTCCATACACTCTCCAGTGAGTAATTCTTAAAGCCAACGTAACTCATCCAAAAATCAACAATTTTAAAGGACTGCCTTGATACAAATAATGATTAAATGACATCAAACAAAACCAGAGGGCTCACAGGGCTCACAGAGCTCACAGAATATTTGAGTCGTCACCATTAAGTTCAGCAATAAAATACCTAAATCTAAATTTAAACAGCCATGTATTTTAGCTGAGAACAATTCCAAGCTTGCTTTTGTAGTATTACATAAACTTCAGCTGTACAGTACTACTTTCAGCACTGCTGGAATACAGAGCTAGGCAACTGTTAAGCCCTGATCTTACATATGGATTGCAAAGGAAGATACTTTTTCAGCAAAAGAGAGAATAAATTTTAAAAGCTCTGATGTCATATACATCCCTCTACAGGAGATAAATAATTATCATGTGGCAACTATAAACTTACCAGTTATTATTTCTATTTATATTTCTGATGATGTCACCAAAGAGGTTCATCACTATGTATCAAGTGTGTGAAACATATTTTAATTATTTATAATTTTACTCATGCATGTATATGTTTATGTATTTATGTACGTATATGCACACAAATATACACATAAATAACTACACAGTATTTCTTAAATTCAGTCCACATTTTCTTTCATTTCTTGTGACAGTCTAAGATCAGGAGACTTAGGTTTTATCTTCAAAATTATCTAGATTTTATAAACCAGTATGAGAAAAAAAAAACACTGTTAAAAGAGAAAACAACTTGCAATATTTCCCTTGGTTTTACATTAAAAAATCAGGCATCTCCATTACTAACAGGTTTTTAACTCTGCCAATCTAAATCCACAAAAAGTAGTCACTCTGCACAAAGTCTGCAGCATGCCCGTGTCATTCCAGACAAACTGGCAGATATGCAGGGACAGAAAGAGCTACTGTAATTTCCAGTGAAACCTAATGGTATTTGGTCATGTACTTATATATGAAACACAATGGTAGATGTTTCATAATTTGCAATGGAGGTTTCATAATTCACTTTATAAACTTGTTTAAATGAGTACCTGAAAAATATCTTTCTTCTTGCTCATCATGTCATACTTTCAGATACATCCATTTTATTTTAAACACTTGTTAAAAATTAGTTCCTTAGAAGATCTTGTTATTTCCTTAAACTTACTTTACTGCTATGAAGCCTCCTCCTTAAATCCCAAGCAAAACTTCTCTTGACTTCTTCTTCACTTCACTTGACCTATGAGTGGAAGTTTGGCCTGAGTAAAGGAAAACCGCAAGGAGCGCAGGGCTGAGCCCAGGAGGAGAGCTACACCCCACCTGTTAAAACTCCTCTGTTCCCTGGCATAACAAGCCCTTGCTCCGATTTGCTACTCACGAGAGAAAAACAAGAACAAAAAGTAACCCTTTTCTCCCCCCGGAATACTCAAATGCCATCTTAGAGCTCTACATCAGAATTAAAAGACAGTGACTTACCAATAAAACTCTGACAGGTGTGAAGGGTGTGGAGCTACTGAGGGACTACAGAATAGCCGTCAAACATGAGGGCTACAGTCCCTACATCCCGAGTGAGCGAAGCATGAATGAGACAGATCTGTCAGGTGCCCACATACGATCAGCCACACAGATCTAAAAACTGCACAGTAAGGAGTGTCCCGCCCCCCACCCCAGATATACAAAGAAAAGATGAGGCTTTCTGGCATTCAAAGACTCAAGACCCTTTTTCACT